TTGGACTCTTAAGTGCACACTATATGCTGGGTTAGGTGATTTTACCAGTAAAGGTTCTCAAATTGTTCTTTACATCATAGTCCATCATAGTCCATCATAGACTAATAAGGCATTCCAATCTTTACCCATCACAAGCTACCAACAGAAACGATTCAATTTGAGTATTTCACTAGTGGGAGTATTTCATTAGCTATTACAGAGATTACCATCTCACGAGAGCGTAGGTACTTTACTCCCTCTAAGAGGTGTGGAGCCTAGGTATAAAGCTCATGTAATGTAAATGCATGTGATAGTGTGTGTGAAGGAACATATAGGTTTCTTGCCCCAAAAATAAAATATAAGACAAAAATATGTTAGTAAACAAATAACACAAATTAGCACAATTTAAAACCATTAGACCAAAGGATATGATAAATTCAAAAATTATGGCTTGACTCTCTATAGCTCGCCAGGAGAGTTGCCAAACTGTCATAACATATAGATCCAGAAATCTATAGCTAAACTTAACAAATTGATAAAGTCACCACCAATCTTTTTTTTTTTAACTAGGTGTGATTGGCCACCTAATGAATCTATCCTTTTAAGGAGCTCTTAAACTTGACTAAGGGTCTCTAAAAAAATAGGTTCAGGTCTACAAACCAAAACAGGGTTCGGGAGTCCGGTTATATATGGGAAAGGTTATAGCACCCCTATATTCATGTTCAAAAGATGGTACCATTTTATTTTAAATTTATCATAAAGGTCTTGATTCTAATGGTTTTAAGTTTTATGTTGAATATTGAAAATAATTTTTAAGATTCTCCATCAATCTAGCAGAATTCTTAAAAATATTTTCTCACCTTAAAAGTTTTCAAGGATCCCATTTGTTTCCTTGAAAAGGCTCTGTCGTCGAAAAATTTTATATATATTTTTTATCTTTTTTTTGTTTGAAAATATATCTAATTATTCTACCATTTGGGCTTATTTAGAAATTCTCTCTTTCTTTTATTTTTTTTGTTGGATTTCTAAATTTTTCAACATTTAGGTCAATTTAGAAATATTTTCTTTTTTTTTAATTTCTAAATTTTCCACCATTTGGGCCTATTTAGATTTTTTTTCTTTTTTTTTTGTTTTAAAAAAAATAATATGATAATTATTTTTATTGAAATTTTATTTAAATTCTTTCACCATTTGGGACAAATTTAAAGAAATTTCTTACCGATAGATTTCTTAGGAATTTATCATTTGAAATTTCTAAGAATCTCCTCATTAAATAATTATCAAATATTTTCAACCAAAAATTTTATTTGAAAAAGAATATAATTACTTTTATTGAAATTTCATCTAAATTATTCCATAATTTGAGACAAATTTAGGAAAATTTGTCACCTAGAGATTTCTTAGAAATTTACCATTTAAAATTTTTAAAAGTCTTATCCTTGGATAATTTGTATTTAATTCTAAATTTTTTATTTTTTATATTTTTTATTTGAAAATAAAATATTAATTATTATTATTGAAACTTTATCTAAATTATTCCACAATTTGGGACAAATATAGATAAAATTTCTCACCTATGAATTTTATAAAAATTTATCATTTGAAATTTCTATAAATTCCATCATTGGATAATTAATACCTATTCTCAAATTTTTTTTTTTACTTTTTTATTCTTTTTCTAAATTTAATCATGTAAAAATACTAAAAAAACAAACACATAAAAAATAAATAAAAAATACCAAAAATACCAAAAAAATGAAAAAAAAGAAATAGCTCGGCTGGAACGATTCGACGTAGCTTGGCTTCAAACAATGAAAGCGGCTCAGCGACTGGCTCAGAGGCAAAGACTAAAAAAAGTTGCTGGAATCTGGGAATTTTTCAGTTTTTTTTCAAAAAAAAATTATTTTTTTCTTTTAAAAACCCCTCAAAAAATCTTTAAAAAATTTTCTTGACTGCTTTCTCTGATTTCTACCTCTCTCTCTGATTCTTTATATGTCTTTGTTTGATCTGTGTGGGCATGTATTTATAGGATTTTGAATTTGAGAACTCCAATCCAGAAAAGAATCCTAATTTCCTTTGAATTTCAGCCTTAAACCCAAGTTCAACTTTACAAACTAGTTCCAACAATTTCACACAAACTCAATTACCTATTTTTCTCATTTTTTATTTTTTTATTAGCAAAAAATCACAAGTAGACTCCCGAACAAATTGGGGTGTCTACAGCTAACCGTCATAACATATAGATCCGTAAATCTATAGCTAGACTTAACAAATGAATGAGTCGCCACCAGTTTTTTTTTTTAGGTATGATTGGTCACCTAAGGAATCTATCATCTTAAAGAACTCCTAAGCTTGACAAAGGGTTCCTAAAAGAATAAGTTCGGGTCTACAAACCATAACAAGGTTCAGGAGTTCAATTACATGTAAAGAAAGTTATAGCACCTTCACATGCCCTCCGAAGGATGATACCATATTATTTTAAATTTATCCTAGGATCTTGAACCTAATGGTTTCAAATTTTTATGTTAAATATTAAAAATAATTTATAAGATTCTTTCATCAATCTGGTAGAATTCTTAAAAATATTTTCTCACGTTAAGAGTATTCAATAATCCCATTTGATTTCTTGAAGAGGTTCCGTCATCAGAAAAATGTCTATTTATTATTTTATTGTCGAAAATATATCTAACTATTTCACTATTTAGACCAAATTAAAAATATTTTCTTGTTTTAAATTTTTAAATTCTCCACCATTTTGGCTTATTTAAAAAAAATTATTTATTATTATTTTTTTGTTGGATTTCTAAATTTTTCACTATTTGGGTCAATTTAAAAATATTTTCTTTTCTTTTCAGAATTTCTAAATTTTTCACCATTTAAGCCTATTTAGAAATTCTTTTTTTTTTTATTTTCAAAAAGAAAATAATATGACAATTATTTTTTTGTTGAAATTTCATTTAAATTCTTCCACCATTTAGGACAAATTTAAAGAAATTTCTCACCTAGAGATTTCTTAAAAAATTTACCATTTTAAATTTTTAAGAATCATATCCTTGGATAATTATTAAATATTTTCAATCAAAATTTTTTATTTGAAAAAGAATAAAATTACTTTTATTGAAATTTCATATAAATTATTCCACCATTTAGGATAAATTTAGAGAAAATTTCTCACCAAAAGATTTCTTAGAAATTTACCATTTGAAATTTCTAAGAATTTCATCCTTGGATAATTTGCACTTAATTCCAAAATTTTTATCAATATTTTTTTTGTTTTTTTTTGTTTTGAAAATAAATATTAATTATTGTTATTAAAATTTTATCTCAATTATTCCACCATTTTGGATAATTTTAGATAAAATTTCTCACCTAAGAATTTTATAGAAATTTACCATTTCAAATTTCTATAAATTTCATTATTGGATAATTACTATTTATTCTCAAATTTTATTTTTTTATTTTTTAAATTTTTTACAAAAATACTAAAAAACAAACACATAAATAAAATTAAAAATACCAACAAAATACCAAAAGAAAAATGAAACATCTCGTCTTAATGGCTCGACGCTGCTCGGCTTTAAACATAGAAAATAACTGACAACTCAGCTCAGGAGCTTGGCTCGACTCTACTCGACTTGGCTAGGTTGGGGCGTAGGTTGGCAAAGTGGGTTGCACTCGAGTCAGATTACCCAAATAAAAACACGCGGATCCTAAGTTCTTCTTAAGGTAAAAACGATGTCGTTTTGGGCCTTATATAAAAGGCAGCTTCCAGCATTTTTCCTCAGATTTCACCTTTCCCCTCTCTCTCTTCCCCTTTCTTTTCTCTCCCTTCTCTCTAACCCGATTGAATCTATGGTTGAATATCAATCGAATTTTGAAAAATACTGTCAAAATTTGGGTTGGTTCACTAGACAGTCGTTGACAAATTCAAACTTCGTCGGAATTTTCACCGGATTTTGGAAACCCTTGTCAAAAAATTAAACTAGTGCCAAAAAAGTCATTAGGAAATTCAACCGGTGCTGAAAAATTCGATGAAAACAGGAAAATTTCATCAAAATCTGGGAATTTTCTAGATTTTTCCAAAAAAATCTCTTTTTTTGCCCTAAACCCAAAAATCTTTGAAAAACTTTTTGATTGCTTTCTACTTGTGATTTTTTTTATTTCTGTTTCTGTATGTTTTTTCTGTGTATGTGATCACTCCTATCCTTGATTCATGGGTATTTATAGGACTAGATCAAAAGAGTTTTTGATCAGTTATGAGTCTCTCTTCGATTAGATTTTCACATTATCAAAAAACCTTAGAATTATCCTAGAGAGATTGAAACTAATTGCAATTCTGCCAGTGCCTATGCATGACACAATTTGTAATTTTCCCTTTTTTCTTTTTAGCTAATATCCTCGTATCTTAAATAAAATAAATAAATAATAAAAAATAAAAATAAAAATAAAAATAAGAATAAGAATCAAAATAAAATAAAATAAAATAATAAACAATGGGGCCTAACCATTTAAACCCCATTGACTTGGGCCCAATGGGCTTGGGCCCAATGGGCTTAGGCCCAGACCTTATTGGACTAAACCCAAAGAGTTTGGACCCAGACTAATTAAGTTGTTTGTAGGGCTTCTGTCTATTATGTTAAATTAAGCCAACTCTGTCAACCATAAACTCGACTTTCAAAACTTGAGTCAAGTCTGACATTCTTACCCTATTTATATATATATAATTCTATCCAAGTATGGACATTCAATTTTCTCCCTCACTTTTCTAAGATTTTCATTTTTCTGTAGTTAAAAACTAACTTGAACGTCAAAATACAAATGCCTAAAATACCTTCAAACTTTATTTTTAACTAACCTCCAATCTAGTGCTTTCAGATTTTTAACCCCCGACACCAATAGTTAGTTTACTAGTTCAAACCCAACATTCAAAAGTTTCTTAAATTCGAGATGGGATCGAGTTACTTGGTTATTGTCCTAATAGTCAATATAGAAAAGGGTTAAATACTACGATCATGAGTTAAAATCAATACAATTATCTGGCTGTAAAACAAGGGATAACAGCGGCAGGAAGCTTGGGTAGATAAGCTCATGGAAAACCCATATCAAGCAAGTGTTTTAGCCTTAGCGACAGCTCGTAGTGAAATTGGGTCGACATGTCAGAGGAAGTTTGAGGCATTGGTTATTTTGTCAGAAGGAATATCTAGCATTCTAAATAAAATTCCGTAATGGACTGTTGCAGCCAGCGGGTTTTAGTTAAAAAGGTCAGACAAAGAAGAGTTGGACAACAATACATTGAATTTTGGGGGACAAAAGGCCCTTCTGGCCAAGACATGAACTCTAACCACAAGCTGAATCCGGCAAGCAACCTAAAATCATTTATTATGAGAGAAACTATACCTGTTTAGATCCCTGTTGGCATGTTCACAATGGTAAGGAAAGTGAAAAAAAAAAAAATCGAGCCCCCAAAGAGAAGGAAATCTTCAACAACATGATGCTTGAACATAGTAAATTTCCAAGTCTCGACTGTTATTTTCAGATGACATGATTAGTACATCAAAGATTGAACAACAGAAGACAGACAATGAAACCATTTAAAGCAATCTACCTTACAGGAGAAAAATAGGAAAAAAAAGGCAGAGGAAGAGAAATGAAAAGGAAGACTCCTCCTGAAGGTGCACAGATGTTTTTCTGTGCTTGCCAGTCTCTGCATGAGTTGTACATAGACTGCATGCAACCACCCGTCCTATAAATGCTAGAAAGTAAAGAGACCCAATACCCAGCTATATGTTCTATTTGCTTAACATGTCACTTTTTCATCTATTCACATGCCAATTTGGTGTCAAAGCTGCTCAGGCAGATGGCAAAAGCCTGAAATGCAGACAGTGGATATCTGTAATCCATGGTAAACATGTCCTTACCAACTTTACCAAACTGGAGAATAATCTTATCATGGTCAGATTGGGTTGGCTGTGATGGTGTTGGGGCACCGGCTGCTGGCTGGTTTGCTGCAATCAGCTGAAAATTCTTCACAGAAGCAACAGTAACCCGTCCTCGAAAGTTCAGGCACCAACATTGTAACTGCTCATGCCATCGAGGTGGTTTGTTCCGGAGAACCAATGCTCTCTCCTTTCCTTCATCCTCTTCGTCGTGGGTACCAACAATATCCGAGAATCTGGCACTGCTAAACTCAGACGAATTGTCAATTGACTTTGAGAAAGAGATGCTCCGAAATGAGTCTTCAAGGGATCGAGGCAGAAGCTCTGGCTGGCCTGGGACAATGCCACCTGGCTCGACGGCTGAGGCAGGAATTGAATGCATAGTGCAATGCATCCTACGAGGCCCCCTAGTACCTAGCACATTCAGCTCATATGAGACCTGAGCAATGTTGTAGCTACCTGTAGGAACCTTTGGAGAGACTTTTTTTGAATAGAACCTTCGGCTTCGGCCAGGTGGTGAAAGCTGAGCGTTGTTGTATGGAGGTTGCGTGTCATAAATTACGAATTTAGTACCAAGAAAATTTGACCTGAAGATGAAAAATGCACTTTAGGGTCTTTCTATTTGCAAGTATTAACAAACAAATCAAATAGGGATCAATAGGTTTGACGGTGCATGTTGTGCACACGCATTGCTTCAAAATACCTGCCCACATGTATACAATTACAAGCTAACAAATAATGTCAACAGCATCAAACAAAGAGGGCATTTCCAGGAGAATGTTACACTTTCCTTCCTCAAAATAGGAAATCATTAAACATACTAAATAAAATATAACATAATGGGTGGTTTAGCGAACTGTGCCTTCAAAGCCTGACTAAATAAAAAATAGCAACATTAGGAAAGAACTCCTATGTACGTGCTGAAATCCTACCTAAGTTTTCCAATGTATTTGCTGCTAGATCTCGATATGTTATCTGCATCCATAGAGATTACATACTCTGTGCGAGTAGTTCTACGAGTCCGTTTTGCGGAAAGAAGAAACTTCCCATTTTCAACAAGCAAAGCTTCAAAATATAGCAAAGGTTAAGGTTACATAACCACATACAATGGTAAATAGAAAACATGAAATGATATCCACATAGACATGAGGGTCAGAAAGTGAGTATGACAGAGAACTAACACAGTGATAATGTACTATGCATAGCTAGTTAGATTTAAGGAGGGACAAAATAGGAGAAATGATTCACCTCCTAGCAGGGTAAGTCAAAAAACTACTACCAATAATTATGATGCACAGCCACCACGGAGCAGAGATGACCAACAAGACCTTATTTAAATAGACTAGAGACACAGGTGTTAAAATTCAACTCATTCCAGCAGAAAAGGACATTAGCGCCCAAGTGTATACATGGCTTATTAAAAGGTTAAACGAAACAACTTGCTATATGTTTCAAACTCGAACATGGCAACAGACATTTATTTGTGTAACACAGCTCAGCCACGGATCATATAGGATGCCAACAGAAAATCTACTCAAACCCAGATGCCATTTATAATTGGAACCAAACTAGTTAACTTGGAAAAAGAAATCATGCATTTGCCAAAAGAAATAACTGGAGGTGTAGCAATCAAGTATATAAGGGAACTCCATCATGGTAATGTTTAATAGATGGACTCAAATAACTGAATAATCAGTTTTCCAAACAGGCTCTCAACTTTCAAATCAAATGACTGTAAATTTTGATATAAATGCATCACTGCAATTAGAATCAGAAGTAGCCATTTACTATCAAGAATTGTCAAAATATTTAAAAACTAGCTAGACTGGAGAGTCATCAACAATCAAATCAAAGCAGACAAGGTAACTGATAGCCAAGACACATGCATGCCTACAGCTAAAGAAAGACTTTCAGCCTGCTAAAACATATATTTTATAGCATGTTACATTCATCTTCGTTAGAAGAAATTTTCAGAGGGAACATGAGGGATAATGCTCGCAAGTCAAAGCATCACTACTTCACTTGCAGGATGCTTTTCATAGCCATATTAGCATCTTCAGAAACAAAAGAATTTGAAGTTTAAAATAAAAAACAATTTATTAACCACATTGAACTTATAATTGTAATCACAGAAACATTGTGGTAAAATTAATTAGGTGTATTGCTCAAAGCCACCGAGGAAATAGATATAACAACAGAGCAAGGAAAGCATGACTAAGCCAATGAATTGTAAAGGACAGTCTGAAAAAGTAGCTTACCAGTACTAAGGCAAAGGAAAAGGTGATAAGTTAAATTAGATTTGTCTCTCTTAATGAAGCATTGAATGGTTCCATCCCTCGGTCCAGGCTGTAATTAATTAACAGATGAAAATTCAATCGCCACTGTATATAATAGAAAACTCAACTCTAGAAGTTAAAACACATATGCATACACACATTTAATCAAACTAAAATGGTATGGCCGACCAAGAAGCCTAATGAACAAATTATTAGTCAGTTCATCAATTAATTATTCAACAAAGATAAATTGTAAGCAAGACAGAAGATCATAATGAGTTAGAGATCTAACCTGCTTCAGAGAAACTGGAAAGGTGATTTTTCCAGAGAACTCAGGACACCTAACAATTTCTTTGCACATTTCCCTCCATGACCTGCATACTGCAGCACAAGCCACAACATGCTTGCGAGCAGGCCACATACTCTCGCTCACTTCCAATCTCTTGATCACATCACGCAACAGCTCAGGCGGAAGGCTTGCCCAGCGGCTATTCTGGATAACCACAGGCGGATCATGCAACTCCAGCACTGAACCATGAGATTTTCCCCTATGATGACCAGGCAACCTCACCTCAAAACTACGCCTAGATAAGCTCCCCAAAGCATCCCTCACATCATTAACTATACTTCGGAACGACATTTACTCTCACCACTCTCAAAACCTCCCAAAAGAATTAACTTATCCTATAAAATGATGGCATAAATTACGATTATGATTCGCTAAAATGGCGATTACAGATCATCCGCATATGCGCCAACTGCAAAATCAAAGCAAAAACAGCTTACATTTTAAAAACTCGAAACTGACAATACTTAATAACAAAGTAAGAAAAGAGAAAAAGATGAGATAGACAGAAAAGCACAAAGCAAGAAAAGAAGATTCTCATTAAAGAAAGGCTCAATTAAAATGGACCAACATAAAAGCAACTAAAATACCAGACTTTTATCAGAAACCATCCTTTTGGCGGGTTTTGCAAACCCAAATCACAAAAAATAAAATAAAAGCCCCAAAAAGACTCTTAATTCAAACAATCTTAGCCTCCTCTTCTTCATGTACGGTCTTAATTCCAACCAAGAATCTCAAAACACAAAAGTAAACGAAATACCAAAATTTCCCTTCTTCTTAATCCCACAAAATAAAAATAATAAGCACTAAAATTCGTGAAAGCAGTAAAGCAAAATTTTCTTTTTAAAGTATGTTGAATACCAATTTCCTTTTAAAATAATTTATATTCTGCCCTTCATTTCTGCTACTTTAATTATTGCTGCTACTTAAAATAATTTAGAAAATATTTAAAGCTTTAAAATCTAACCTTAAACGAAATAAATGAAGCTGAGAAGTGAGAAGAACTTCACCGACGCCTAAACTTTCGGGAAACAAAGGTCAGAGATTTTTATAGCAAAAATTTGCCGCAACAAAATTTAACTAATGAAAAATCGAATTTAATTATTTATCCTCCAAATTATACAGAAAACCACGAAAAATTAGAAAAAAAAAAAAAAACAGAAATGGAGAGCAGAATGAATGTAGCGGCTTTTTAGAACCGAGAAGAAAACTATCTCAGAAAGGAAAACAACGAATCCGTCAAAGCATCGGAAGCAAAAACAAAAACAAAAGAAATCAGATTTTGAAACTTTTCGTAGAAGAATACACTGAATGGACTTCAAAAAATGGATAGAAGAGGCAGGAAGTGTTTTTCTCCCTAGTTGGAAGGAAAATCTCTCTGTCGAGAAACAAACAGAAAAGGGGGAAAAAAATAATTTAGAGAACTAATGCGGAAAAAAGAATTACAAGCAAAGCAGCGCTCACCGTCGTTGTTTGTTCTTCTCTTTTCTGTGTCACATGTTCAAGCGCTTTTGGCACACGCGCTTTCGCTCTCTAGACTTCATTCTCTCCATCTGTAGAGAAGCAAAGTCACGGACTCAAAATCCTTCTTAAATCTAGTTTATAAAACTCCTAATTTTTAAGAATATAAAAAATGAAAAAACTGGTTCAATTTTTTTTTAAATTCTTCATTTAATTATTTTGTTTTTGAAATTGTTCATTTAATTAATTTATATACGTGTAATTTTTTTTTTATGCTTACTAAATTCCCCTGAGGGTACAGAAGTCTACTGACGAAGAACTTTCTCGCGAAGTGCCGTTTTGTGCTTGACGGTTGACTTTTCCGTTTTTTAACTGCCATTTACCAGACCAAACAGTAAAGGGCGCGTTTTTGCTGCTAATGCTTCACCAGGCCCCAGCCTTTTCCCCAACTTGCCCACTTCCGTTATAGTGAGCAAGTTGAACACGTTAGAAATAGTGGTGCATGATAATTTGTTCCTTCGACCCTTTCTGGTTCTTACATTTTTTTTAAACAATTAAAATAGAAAATTTTATGATAATATTTAATTTTTAATAGTTATTTTTATTGAAAACTCTTTTAAGATTATTATTAAATTTTTATTGACTTCACAACATTACAATTTTACTTTTTATTATTTTTATTTTTTAAAACTTTAAAAAGATAAAAAGTAAATAATAAAAATCTTACCTATTTAAACTTAAAGAATGAATTTATATATTCGATGTGTTAATTTTTTAATTACTTATTTATATAAATTTATATTTGATATTTTATTAATAAATAAGATGATATTATATCTATTAATAAATAAGTTTTTTAAATAATATTATTTTTGTGTATATCTTTTTAAAAATTAATATTTATTCATTAATAAAATTATATCATTTGATTCATTATTAATATATAAATTTTATATACTGTATATCATAACGATTTTTCGTCTGGAAGGACTCGATCACTAAACTTAGTGAAAATTTCGGAGTCGCCACCATTTTTTTTGTAGAATGTGATTGGCCACCCAAAATATCATCTTTTATTAAAAATTTTAAAATTAATTAAGAATTACTAAAAGAAGTTTAGGTTTACGAAATTAGGGGTAGATCCGAGAGTACGATTACAAGTGAGGAAGGTATTAGCACTCTCATGTCGCTTGTTCGAAGAACAATACTAATTAAACATGTATAATCTTATAATTTTGATGACACAGTTTTTTATATTTAAATTTAATTTCTTAAAATTTATTTTAAAAATTTTTTGTTGTGAAATTAGTATTATTATTATTGTTTTTATATTCTATAAATTCTCCAACACTTTGGCAGAATTTATAGAAAATCACTATTTAAAAAATATTTCAAAAAAATTGACCATTTACAAAATTCTCGAAATCTCGTCATAAGATATTTTATTTATTTATTTTAAAATTGATTTTAGGAACATCTCGACTCTTTGGTGAGTTTTCAAAATTTATTAACCAAATTTTAAGATTATACCAACTATTCGGTGAAATCCTAAAATTTTGAACAAGTTTTAGGATTATTTCAATTTTGGACAAGGTCCTACATAAAAATCATTTTTTTAGTTAATAGGAATTAATTAATTAATTAATCTTTATTATGATCATTTAAAAAACTTTTTATTATTTATTAATTATTTTTATTATAAAAAAATTTAGATTATTCTGACTCACCAGTGAAATCTAAATATTAATATCTTGCTTGTGTTAAAGAAAATCAAACTCTTTCAATTTTTTATTTTTTTTAAATATTCAAAATACCAAATATTTTTTTCATTTTTATTTTTTATTATTGTTTACATTGTCTAAATCAATCTTTATTCTAGTAAAAATAATTTTGGATTATCCAACTCTATGGTGAAATCCGAAAAAATTATTTTTACTTATAATAATTAAAGAAAATTAAACTCTTTTAGCTTTTTTAAAAATTACATTTAAAAGATTCATTTAAATAATTTATTTTTATTTTATTTATCATTTTTTATAATTTATTATTTTTTTAGCAAAAATTATTTTTTAAAATTATCCCAACACTTTGGTGAAATTTAAATAACATTTTTTTGCTTGCAATAAAATTTTTTTTTCAAAAAAAGTTAGTATTAATTTTTTTTTGCATATTATATTTTTAGGTCTTTTATTTTATTTTAGTTTTATTTTTATTCTATTTATTTATTTGTTTCTAAAAAAAAATTATTACTAGTAACAACATAAAATAACAATAATAACAATAACAATAATATTATAAAAAACAAAAAAATAACATAAAATAAATCAAAATAAAAAAAAAAAGAAAAACCTACGAAACAGGTCAGATTGACGTGGTGATCTTGCGTGGGTCAGGTTTGGTTCAGACACCCAAAACGACATCGTTTGGGAGTGCCTATAAATGGGCCAAAATCAGGGTTTTTTATATTTTCTTCTTTCCCTTCTCTCTCTAACCCATAACCTCTTTCTCTAAAACCCAACACCCTTCATCAGTCACCGTGACAACCCAATTTTCAGTCGATCGTTGCCATGCACCAATGGTCGAAAACTTCAACCAACAACAAAAAATTCAAAAGTTTTCAGATTCCGACGATGAGCCCACATTCCGATCACCAAAAAATTCAAACAATCATCGAAAAATTTAAATTTTTCCAAATTTCAGTGACTTAAATTTTTTTCAAAAAAATCCAAAAAATTCCCAAATTAATCCTATTTGTTTTCTAAACACCTTCTTAAACTAGATTCTTTTTAAAAAATCTCAAACTACCTAGATCGAGAATTTCATTCTTGAAAATTTTTTTTTTTATGTTTGCTGTTGGTTTTTTTTTTTTTATTGTGTGTTCACCTAACTGTTCCCTTAGGCTTACCCTTGTATTTCTCTCCCCCTTAGTTTGCAAATTTTGGCTCTATTTATAAAGCCTTTGGGATCCAAATCCCAGATCTCTTGAGATTTCTTTATGGAAAATTTAGATAATGTCCGGTGACTTTTGGTCACCGAATTTTAGGTTACCAAATTAGGCAATGTTAGAGAGAAAAAATGTCACTCTAATAGCTTGATTTCAGTTGCCAAAGTTGAAACCAAAAGACTTTTTTTTACTTTTTTTTAATTACTTAATTAATTACTTAATAATATTAATATTAATATTAATATTAATATAAGAAAAATTACAATAGTCAAATTTGGTGTTTACAGCTGCCCCTTTTTGCTTATTTTTTAGAATTAGGAATAAAGCAAAGATAAAAAGACACCAATTTTGTTCGGATAGAATACATATAAAAGACGAAACGTTGAACACAGTTTTTTTTAAAAAAAAAAAATTTGAAAGGCTCCTCTAAACAGAGGTTATGAAACTTTAAATTCAAAAAGCTCCTCTCATCAGAGGTAATGAACTTTAAATTCAAAAAGCTTCTTTAACCAAAGGCAACAAACTTTAAATTCTAAAAGCTCATCTCACCAGAGGCAACGAACTTTAAATGTTAAAAAGCTTTTCTCACCAGAGGCAACAAACTTAAAATTTCAAAAGCTCCTTTAACTAAAAGCAACAAACTTTAAATTTAAAAAGCTCATTTAACTAAAGACAATGAACTTTAAATGTTAAAAAGCTCTTTTCACAAGAGGCAACAAACTTTAGGTTCAAAAGAGCTTCTTTAACCAAAGGTAACAAACTTTAAATATTAAAAGCCTCTTCTGACCAAAGGCAATGAACTTTAAATGGCTCCTTTAACTAAAGGCAACAAACTTTAAATTAAAAATCTGAGAGGACTTATAGATTATACCATTTGGTCTTGCAAATCATGCCTAATTTTGATAAAGTCCTCTAACTCGAGGCTCTTAAAATTAAAAAGCTTCTCTGACCAGAGGCAACAAACTTTAAATGTTAAAAAGCTCCTATGACTAGAGGCAATGAACTTTAAATGTTAAAAATCTAAAAGGCAATGGTATTTGAAAGATTTATCTAAACAAAGGGTTCATATCTTTTCTGTTTTTAACTTTTTCTTTTGTTGATCTTAGATTTTCCTAAACCCATACATCTGTTGTGTCACATGCATGCATGAATAACATTTTCATATTTTTTTGATGCCATGCAATGAATGATGATCATGATGCGAATGCACTCATTATGCAAATGAAGAAACCATCTTCTTTCTCTTTTTTTTTGTCGTTTTCTTTTAATCCTTGAAATTTCTCAAGGTTTGTTTCCTTTTTTCTTTTTTTAAATCCCATACATTCTATAGTTGATTAAGTTCAGATAAAATAGATTTTTCTTTATATACCATATTCAATGTTTATCACTTTTATGACTTATAGGCTTTTTTTCTTATTGACCTTTGTTTCTTACTATTTTACTTATGATTTTAAATCTTCTTCAAAATAATGTGTGTCTTTTATGGTCATTGTTATTCCTTCATCATCTTTTGAATTTCATGATAATTATAACACATTGCACATTTCTCTTTTTAATGAGAGGGACAAAAAAAAGTATAAACAAAGTGGTATTTTATTTCGATAAAAGGGAAATGTGTTTCATGCATTATCAAAAAGGATATAACAAGGACAACAAGTAATCACATAACAAATATTCAGATCGTCATGAACTAATTCATCATGGATTCTTTTTTTGAAGACTCTTGATTGGTGCCTTTGACTTTTGAAAATACAGCAGACCAAGCCAGCCCAAAACCAATGAGATTTTTTGGGACATATTGAGAATTCACCCATTCCATTCACTATCCCCTTTTATTTTTATCTAAGCTACCCTTTCAAATTTTTAACTCATATATCTTTTTAATTTATTTTATATGTTTTAAAGCATAATACTTTTTTACTGTATTGGCATTGATTGGATTTGGCAAATCATCTCCATCCATTCTTGCTAAGATCAATGCCTCACCAGAAAAGCTTTTTTTACCACATATAGGCCTTTCCAATTAGAAGTCCATTTTCTTCAAGGATCTTGT